TTTTTTTCTTTCTACAAAAAACGTAAAATGCGGGAAATTCCGTAAATTAAAAACTTACAATCCGGGTAAAATTAACATTGGAGGTATACGGAAAAACTGGGTCCTGATGAAAAAAACGTAAAATGCGGGAAAAACGTAAATTCGGGGGACGTAAAATCGAGGTTTCACTGTATATACTTAGTTCTTAAAAAAAGCTTTTTTTTAAAAATTAAAATAGGCTATAAAAAGTTAAAATGAAATAGAAAAATTAGCATTAATGCAACAATTGTAACAATTTGTCGACAAACATCGCTGTTAGAGATTGTAAAAAAAAAATGTGTGATAGGTTGGTTTGCTGAGAAAAAATAATTAACAAATTTCTTTGAATGGGAGTACAAAAGTTTTGAGAAAAAGAATGCAATATAACATCTATTATTATTAAATTATAACCAACTAATTTTTGGAGAATTTTCTAAAGTTAAAGATACAAAAACATTTTGAATCATTTTGTCAAAAAAGAAAAAAATTACCATCAAAGCATCGGAACAAACTTGAGCCATAAATGTATTCAGCTCATGGACAGAATTTAAAAACAGAAGCAAATAATCCCTTCCTCTACCTCCATCAAAATCTTTCCTAAATTGCACAGTCCCATAGCGGTAAAAGATTTCTACATCCATTTAGCAACCGTGGGAGATTTTATGTGACATTCTAGTTTAACAGACCGGTAATGGAGCAAATTTTGCTGCAAGCAAAGTATCTGTAAGTTGATGATATTTCAACTGTTTGGCAACATATTTCCGTCTAAAAAAAGTGGGTAGAAGGGATGAAATAATTTAAATTAAGAAAATTAGCAAATAATTTAAATTAGTGAAATTAAAAAAATTATCTAAGAAAAAATTTCCTGATAATTCCAGGTTTTCCAGGTGGGTCGCCACCCTGATGAGTCACTAAGTACCAATGATTAATTGCAATTATTATTCTTTACTTCTAATGGCAGCATAATGATAAATATTTCCCGTCAAAATGGCACATAAATATGTGGAATTAGAAAATATCCCGAAGATTTAAATTTTGGATTTAAAAAAAAAGGAAAATACATTGAAACCAATGTACGTTGACCGATATGTATTAGTAGTCAATTTAGACTACAGAAGGTGGTCAAATGATTAACTTATAGAATGGATGATGATGAATTGTGGAAGAATTGAATTGTGGAAGCTTTGAATAGAACAATCTGCGGTGAAAATCGACATGGTAAAGAAAAAAAATATCATTTTAGAAAAGGGAAAATTAAAACACCTCATGTAAAAAGCACCTTTAAGGGCTTTTAAAAAAAGAAAATAAGCACGTTAAAGCACTTTTTAAAAACACTACGCACCATGTAAAAGAAAAAAAATTACAATTTATGGGTGAGATTAAATCGAATCGCCACTCAAATCTGCAAAAAAATTCTCTGCGTTTTCCCTGTACATATTATACACAATATATTAAGAGGAAAAACGCAATCACTGCACTCTTGTGTGAGCTGTATAGGGCTAACTACACTAGTTATAATTGCTGACAAAACTTTAGAGAAAAAAGGAACAGCTGAACTTAATTAAAACAAATAATTCTATAGTAAATGAAATAGTTTATTATAGCTGAAATATCTTTATATATCTCATAGATCGCACTTGGAGAAGTTACCACTTTTTAAAAGACGAAAATAAGAAACAAAATTCCTTGTATTTTCCCAATTTCTAAATAAAAACTTGAAATTTCCCGCATTTTTCCTGCTATTGTATTATTCCGGTGATTTTTAAATCCCCTGTGGAGTAGTAACCCTGTTATGTATTTGAAATAGAATTGAGGAGGGTTTTTAAACAGAGCAATATTTCAAGATAAACGTCGTAAGATATTTAAAATAAAAAAACTTACTTGGCAGGAGATTTCTTTGGTCCATTGATGTCTAGATTTTGGACTCAAATTTGAAGGCTTGAATCTAAGTCGGATGATATGAGTCTTCCCCCTGCTGTAGATGTGGGAGATGACTTTGGATCACACTCTTCGGGGGGAACAAGAGTACTGGTTGCCTGAGGCTGCAACACATCCTCAAATGCATCAAAACCTATAAAACGGTTCAAAACTTAAGCATATGACTCTCTCACAAATGATAATTAGGGCAGATGATCATTTAACAGGTTGCCACTGATATCTGTAAAAAAAAAACTGTTTTCCCTGCTCATATTGTATACACAATACATTAAGAGGAAACACACATTCACTTCGCTTTTGTTAACTATATTAGGATAAAGATGCTGGTTTTAGTTGCTGGAAAAATTTGGAGAATTAAGAAACAGCTCAAGATAAAACAAATAATGCTATAATAAATTAAACAACATAATATAGCTGAAATATCATCTTTAAATATACCATAGATTACACTTTGAGAGGTCTGCAATTTTTATAAGGTCCCACAGTGGACTGATCGTTAAGACACGGTTCCCAGCAGATCACTCAAGTCAAGCATCACTGGCTACGGTTGGTGCGCGGGTGGGTGACCACTTGGATCAGCCTGCGTAGGGACCGAGGGTGTGCGGTATTGGTCCTCGTTAAACTGTGCAACCGTAAAGTGCTCAACTTTGAGCGCAGGTCGTCGGGCTACCGAAGCGGGGGTGCCATCCCCTCCGCAGAGGATCAAAATTGTGATGGCATGTCTTCGGATCATCCTCCGTGATGTTTCCCAGACCGTCGCCAATAGCCCATTGTACAGCTCTAGTGCGACGTAAATTAACAACAATAACAGCAATTTTTATAAGACAAAAATAAGAAATAAAATTCCCACTTTGTAAGGAAAATTTTAAAATTCCCTGCATTTTCCCTGTTATTTTAGCTGATTTTCAAATTCCTTGTATTTTCCAGGTTTTCTCTGCGGAGTGGCAACCCTGTTTAACTAATGACATTAGATGAAAAGATTTTCAAATGGACACTCATTTTTATTTATTTTAATGGAACCAAATTTTGGCACTTGAATCAAGAGAAGAGGAGGGTGCATATAAAAACTGGAAACTGTAGTTGTCATATTTTTTACAAGAGAGAAGTAGGATTTTACACTTGACCTATATATTTTACACATTATACTTCTGAGCAGTAATTGCAAAACATTTTAACTTCTCATTTATAAAACTCATCTACCCAAAATAAAAATTAAAGGGAAATTTTCCAAAAAAAAGTAGCAAATTTTTTTATTTTTTATGAATATATTAAAAGCAAAATCTGCATACATCACGATTAAACAATACTAAGAAATAATTATTTGATATTATTTTTTTGCTTGAAATATTTATTAGGTAAATGAGTTTTAAATTGTTTTAATTTGAACAAAAATTAGTCCCAAAGATGATGTACAAAATGTAAAGAGATAAATAAGAGAAAATCTAGCAGGAAAAAAAAAGCATAACTTAAATTATTTTTTGCACTAACTGAAATTAATTGGCAAAGTATCTTGGTATGTTAATCTTAGGTAAAAGCTTATATTGGCATAATTTTTTTTTGCACACTATATCTATATTATTTAACTTGTAACTCAATAGACAACTGGCTAGTTTTTCTTTTTGTGATGTAGCAAAGTAGACTGTTAACCAAACTTACTGTCACAACTTGGTTCCAAATCAAAATCAGTTTTGAAGACTGCATCTCCATGTCTCCTAAAAATGCACGCAGGGTAACAGAACTGTTAGAATTTCTTTCTTGACACAAAATATCAACAAAAGTTAAAGCAAATNAAAAAATTACGATCACAACTCGACAAAACGAATATCACCATGTACCTTTCTTTCTATTCTAAATAGCTCTAAAAAAATTAACAACACATTTTGTGTAATTAAAGACAATTTTTCTAATTTTGCTACTTCGTTCAAATTAAAAGAGGGGAAAAAACTTAATCCTCAGAGATATTACATTAGCTTTCTGAAAAAGGAGGAGCATTCATGTAGTGCGAATTCCAATTCCATCAGTCTGATTGGTTAAATATGTCTGTCATGCTTTTGACATCAGACAGTGAGAAATAATAAAGTTAGGATAAAACGAAAGCACGGCAAAAAAAAGTGGGGAAGGGGGAAACTCATGAAGCTATTCTTAATTTTAGTCGCTTTGGCTTAATAAAGTCGCCGATTTTACGCAAATNCTCCTTAAGCTAAAGAGGAACAGTTTGAGGAAAATCATTGGTTAAATCTAATCCTCTTTGTCGAGGTTGTCATCTTGAAGAGGAGACTTCATGACATATACTTTGTGATTGTGAGGTCTATTCTGCTCACTTGAGCATTTAGGCATTATTTGAGCATTTAGGGAAACATTGCAAGAAGGCCCGTGAGCTGCAAGACGTTCCTGTCCGGTGTTTGGTGAACTACATTTCAGCTATAAGACTTTCTTGTTAATCATGATTTAGGGATATGGGTACAATAGACCTCTGGTCTATGTGTCCTGCTTTTTGGAGTGAAGATGCTCCACCCATCACATTCTGCCTATTTATATTGCAAACATTTCTAAACATGTGAAACAAATCATGTAAAAAATAATTCAGTTATTTTCAAAAAAGAAAACCATTTTAACTGAATTAAAAATAAAGATTATTACTTATTGAACAAAATATTGTAAACATACAGTTAAAAAAAGAAATTTATAAGCGAATTGGTGGACAATATAGGTTACCTCCTGTATCAGCTTGTTGAACCACAGGAAATGCAGCACTAAAAGGTACTTCAATGACAAAATTTGGAGCCATTGCTTGAGGCTGAACTGCTGAAAAATCTGAATTGTTAAAAAAAAAAAAAAAATAGATTAAGATAGATTACAGATTAAAATAGATATTAGTATGTGTATATAGCTAATTTTAAAATACCAGATTATAAAATGGACAGAATCAACCATTTCTGATTCGGTCAACCATTAGGAAAAGTTAGAGAACAGTTTTGACCCCTGTGGCAGACTTTTTTCGAGCTATCTGCGACAATTCTCTCTAATACTAATTCCTTTCTGAAAGATATTTTTAATAGTAGCAAATACATATGTAATTAATTTAAAGTAACAGAAGCGCTTTCTGTTAAGAAAAATAAAAATATATAAAAAAAGTCTTCATGTATAGCATACAACATTATATATAGTTTAATTATAAAAGTTTGTATTTTAATTATAAATGTTTAATATTTTTGGCTATATTCTCCTGTTCTACAAAATATTTGTAAAGTTAATCTTTTTTAAATTTTTGCTATTAGGAAATTACTTTTTTATAATATTCATCTGAAATTCTAGCTAAAGCCAGTCATTGCAAAATTTTTTTATTCTAAAAAAAAAGTAGAAAAAAAAATCACGAGCCAATTTTTTCTCCTCCGATATGCGATAAAGACATTTTTTTAATACAATTCTGCAGAAAGGAAAAAAAGTTTTCCTTTTCTGCGACTTTTAAGTTATTTTAGTTAAAATCCTAGACATTTCTCGAATTTTTCCAGATTGATAAAATTCTGACTTTTTCCTGCTCTTTGGCTGCTCTATATACACAAATGGTAATTTTTGACATAATCACAATAAAGATGAAAGTATTTGAAGAAAAATCTAGCCGGGTTAAAAACAATCGTTGCCAATGCAACGTTTTCTGACGTTGAAGTTTGTTATTTGGGTTTCACATATTGGATGTAGAGATTATGGTAGGGTCATTCCACATCAAATCATACAGGATTTTACAAAAATGGCACCCACCATCTCAGATTTTGATGAAAATTTGTACATTTACACAATTTTTGATGCTGATTTCAAAAATATCAACTATATTTAAATCAGTTGTGGGGTTTAAAAGTTATAAGCATTTATATTTTTGACAAGATGACACATTTTGCCGCCATTTTGATTCATACATCAAAGGTTATTAATGATTGTAACTCCCCTTATATTTGCCATAGAGCAATAATTTTTTTTATATATTGTTCAGAATAAAGTAATCTGTCATTTAAACACATTTGTTTGCAAATAATTATCTTACTTATTTAGTAAATGGATCTGTTTTGCAGTTTTTTGATCAACAGAGTTGAGTAACTTCAGGAGCTGATTTCTGGCAACTCGCCCCCTCCAATTTCGAAAATATTTTAGTCAAAGATAGTTGAAAGTGCAAACTAACATCTGATATAAAAATTTTGATGGGCGGTTCACTTACTTTTTAAAAAAAAAATATTTTTCTTGTGAATTATTATGCGTTAAAAGTACTGGTAGTTTGATGATTTATAGTCCTTAATTGTAATTGTACCTAGAGTATAATAAAATGAGAATGGTAGAAAAATATATAAAATAAAGTAATCATTCATTAAATTATTTTTTCCCTCTTTATTTGAGCCCCCCCCTCGAAAAAGAAAAGAAAGGAAAAAATTTGAGAATGAACAAAATTTCCCCTTTTTTGTAAACAAATTTATCCAGAATCATATAGCTTTGGTAAATGAGAGTGATCAGAATCTAAAAAAAGATAGAGTGACCTAGGGTAATTCCTGATCAAAAAATGCAGACATCTATTTTGTGAAAAAACTATTCAAGATAGAATTTCAATATTGACTGGAAGTTTTAGGGTTTATGAGATGAGTCCTATGCTACCTTCTTTTGTTTGAAAATATAATTAGAATTCAAAAGATTTTAAATTTTTAGTGATCAGGAATTATCCCTTCTCTTGATCATTTCTGAGGTAATTACTGATCACCAGTTTTTATAGTAAAGGGGCTGTTTAAAAATAATTATACAAATGTAATTAACAAATAAGACATCAAGATCATACAAAAAAACCAAAAATATATGTTTAAGCGGCTAATAAAATGATTTATTTAAAAGCAAGAATAAAGATTAACACTTCAAATTTTCCAAAAACCTTTGCATTGTGCCATACATTTTAGTCAAGCAGCCAACTCATTCTCATGTTCTGCAGGAATATACATATAAAAAAAAAAAAAAAGAGTTCCCACATGGGTAACTTTCGTTGAACTTTTTAACTTCATTAAGTGAAAATGTAAAATTAAATTAGGTTTGTCAACAGCTCTCACACTGAAATTTTCAATCATTAAAAGAAATTCACTGATTTTGCTATCTAAAAGCTTAGTATTCTTTTTAGGCTTATAATTTCTCACCATATTTACATTAAGTTAATTTATAAACTTAAAAATTATTCTAACAATGTACACACATAAATTTAGAAGCAAGGTAAGACAAACCAGAACACATTTGTCTTGTACAGAGTTAAAAACAAATTTTGTGATTACAGTTAAAATATATTTTATAGTTGTTCCACTTAATAAATACGAACTGTTATTTAAGAGAAGACAATTAGCTGTTTATAAGCTATTTTTTAATGCCATTTATAAGCAGAAATGATAATGATCAGGAATTACCCCTGTGATCAATAATTACCCCATCTGTAGGGGGCAACATTTGATATAGTTTCATATAATCAATAATAATGTTTACGTAGATGTGAAACAATTAAACAAAAGCTTACACTATTTTTATATCAAAGAAAAAGAAAGTGACTCAAAATATTTATTATTAAGAGAAGGAGGGGGAAGAGCACATTTTGAAACCCATCTTTAAAATGGAAAATACAGAAAGCAATTTACAAGATACTTATTTGGTTAGATTAAACAAAACACTATTATTAAGTAAATGTAGTTATACTTTAGTAAAGTGTACAAGCATTCTTGTCCATGCCTCAAATTTAAAAAAAAAAAAAAAAAAATTTAAAAATGAAACTTAGGTGATCATTATTTTCCCCAGAAACAGAGTGATCGTGAATTACCCCAGGTCACCCTAAATAAAAATTTCTCTAAAAGAGTAGAAGGCAATACCAAATAATAAAAAGCAGCCATTATATTTTTTTTAATTGAACTAACTTTGATCTTTATGGAAGGAGAAAATTATAGAATGGAAATATGGAAAAATAATTATGGGAATTATGGAAGGAGAATTTATGATGTGTTTAATAATATCAGAGAGAAAACCATTGTACACTTTATTTTAATTCAAACATTTTGTTTGATTCTAAAATGTAATTCAAGATCAAATTATGAATATTTATAGTTAATTTTATCCTTTTATTTGTCAAAATGATTGTTATGGTAATGAGACACTCCTAAAAAATTTAATTTAAAACACTGATAAAGCTCAAAATATATATTTTCTATTTATTTTAATTATATTGAAATGATTTTAAATCATCAACTATCTGATAATTTGTATGCCCTTATTTCATCACTAACACCTGCAGGCCTTTTTTATTCTGTAAGACTTTTATTATAATTATATACATACAATTTTTTTTGAAAAAAACTCCTGTATAGAAAAAAAAAATACTGAAAACTATTGACACACTCCATCCCTACCTTCCCAAAAAAGAAATTTGACTAATCAGAATGTAACATTTGCCAGAACATTTCTGTTTGTTCCAAACAGAATTGAGAGTCATGTAAAATTTATTTTCTTTCAAATCAATAAAATGGTGTTTTATTGATTTGAACAGAACAGAATAGAAATAAGTTTGTGGAATTTAGAACAGAATAGAAATAAGTTTTCAAAAATTTTATATGTATCAATTTGATATTTAAAGAAGAGTTTTATTATGGAAACCCAAGTATTATGTAGAATTGGATTAACTTTGAAAGATTTTAAATGCAGTTTATCTCAGAGAAGATTTTGGAACTTTCTTTTGAGAATATAGAACTTATTTTATTAAGGAGCAATTTAAATTTTAAGGAAAGTTCCACTATATGCCTCAAGTAAGTGCTTATAAGTATTTCATACTGATACAAGATATACTCCTCATACATAAGGAGCATATCTTGTATTAGTATGAAATACTTATAAAAAAAATAATTAAAAAATGTTGCGACTTATTTAATTCTCCTTCCAATAAGACCAAAAAAGTCTCCCTTCATGTCATAAGTGTAGATCAGGCTAAAACATATAGAGCTAAATTGCAAATTTCAGCAGTCCCTGACCAGAAATTGTGTTCCTGATGCAGAAATTGTGTTCCTGATGCAGAAATTGTGTTTCTCTTGTTCATTCTCAAATTATTTCCTTTCTTCTGTTCTTTTTTGAGGGGGGGAAGAAGGAAGGAAAAAAAATTTTTAATAAATTATCACTATTTGTTTTACATCATATTCTATCATTCCAATTTTTTTACATAATTTTATTATACTCTAGTTACAATTACAATTAAGGACTATAAATCTTCAAACTACCAGTACTTTTAACGCATAATAACTCATAAGAAAAATATTTTTTAAAAAAAAATGAGTGAACCGCCCATCAAAATTTTTATATCAAAAGTTAGTTTGCACTTTCAAATATCTTTGACTAAAATATTTTCAAAATTGAAGGGGGCGAGTTGCCAGAAATCTATTCCAGAAGACAAGGGATCGGGAGAAATCTGCCTTTGTGGAGGACTTTTTGATGGAGCAAACCCACATTTGCGTTACATGGAGAGGAAAACCACGAGAACGTCCCACGGTTAGGCTGACTGCAAGGAGACTCTAACCCATGATCCGTCTACAACTGAGAATATTTCATCTCAGCATAGTGGTCGGTGCAAGGCCGGGACCGGAATTTGTATCGAATATCCATCGGCGGAATCGAACCTCGTTTCACCTCAATGGAAGGCGAATGCTTAATCCCCTGAGCCATCGCCGCTCTGCATTTACACATTGAAAAATTTATAACTAAAAGCATGCAGAATTTTGTAGCAATAACTGCCAAAAAAAAGCAATCAAGAAACATAGAATTAATGGCATCAAAAAGTGATA